TTTTTTTTTTTTTTTTCTTTTCTGAAAAATGATCAATCTCCATGGAACAGATGATTCATGCTGCTCAAATCCAATCTCATGTAATGATTCATTTCAGGCAAGTTGATGTACTATTATCTCAGATAGAACCTAGTTTAAATGTAAGTCATGTTTGCTAATTCTCGGGGTTCCTTTAATCTTCCATTTTGCTTATTTCCATGAATTATCTTAGGTTAAGGAGCATTTGGTATAGTATAGGAACTTCCTTATTAGATTTCATGAATCCCTTTACTCTGTGGCTTGTAATAAAACTGTGTATCAGTACTCCAAATTTAGCTACTTCTATGGGCTTCCCTGATTTACATATACCTGTTACAGGAACAAACAACAACAACAAAAACAGAAAACCTTCTCCTCAATGACTTCATTTCTTAAAAACTCTGTTTCTGAAAACAAAACTTGCTTTCAGATTATTTAACACAAAACTCAATTTTAATACCCAATATAGAGCAATGTTTTAGGTAGAGTCTATGATTTTTTGAAAATTTGTGCACACTGAGGACCTGTGGTAATAAGAATCAATCATGTTAGTTTGGTTTCATGGAAGTAGATTGCCCAACCTTCTTTCTGAAGAGTGGGTTTGAACTGATAGCCTTTTGGTTAACAGTCAAATGCCCCTAGCACTACACCACCAGAACTCCTATTAAAAAGATAATCAAAGAAAATGTAAAGAAAAATAACATCTTCATTTGCAAAGACAGAAAAAAATAGTGGTATATGAAAATATTCTCCAGTTCCATAATTAACACTATTTAGTATCTCTTGATAAGAATTAAAGAAAGTTTTATTCAATAAAACAATTATATATACATAAAACAAGCATACATACATACTTCTGTTCACAAGGTAATGATTGTGAATTTTTAAAACCACAGTTTCCAAATCTATCACGTAGAGAGTTAACTTCTTCAAAACAGGCAACTGGAGCACCTTTAGCACCTTAAAATGCAAATATGTCAGTTAAGTTCTCACTGAATCAAAATAAAAATATTTTTCAATAAAAAGCTAATAAAAATTTTATTTCAAATAAAAAAAGTCATGATCTGGAACTGCTTGTTATACTTTTGTTTTCATGTACCCCTCTATAAAAGCAAGCAGAAATAAAAATCATCTTACCTAACATAAAACAGATAAGGATTAAAATGGTTGCAGTAAATTATGTTATTGCTGCCCTTCCCTGGGAGATAGGGTATTTCCTCGCCCAATGATTATCAGACTTGACCTTATGACTTGTTTTGCTTAATAAAGTAAAAGATTCAAGACATGCCACTTACAACTGAAAACTCTGGAACAAGTACATTGTTTGCTATATTCTCTTCATTTTCTGATGTGCTACCAGCAATATTTTAGATAGAAACTCATCTGTGAGTCTGGGTGCCAGAATGTGAAGTAGCTAACTATCTGTGCATGTAAACTACGTAAACCTTAGAGATTTCTGGTTAGTATTTCAGGAAACATGGGAGCTCTGGTGGCGTAGTGCCTAAGGCATTTGACTGCTAACCAGAAGGCTGCTGCTTCAAACCCACCAGCCACTCCTTGGAAGAAAGACTGGGCAATCTACTTTTGTAGAGATACCACCTCACAAACCCAAGAAAGGGTCGCTATGAGTAGGGATTGACTAATTGGCAATGAGGTTATGAGTTGTTTTTGTTTTTGTTTTTGTTTTCATGAAACATAGAAATTGGTGCCTAGAAATTGAATGCTATTGTTAAAAAAAAAAAAAAATAACTGCCATGGAGTCAGCTGCGAGTCATAGCGACCCCTCCTTGGGTTTCCCAGGTGGTATCTCTACAGAAGTAGATTGCTCAGCCTTCCTTCTGAGGAGTGGCTGGTGGGTTTGAACTTCCAGTCTTCTGGTTAGTGCCTTAGGCATTATGCTAGGGAGCCTG